GAAAAAAAAAAAAAAGAATGATTCCACTCGCCAGTAAAGAAAGCATATGGAGCATGCTACCCGAAGACTGAAAAACGAAGATAGCGTCGCGTGGAACGTTGACCCGAGAAACGGGTGAAGTATTGGGGATCTACATGGCTCATTAACTCGGGGCTGCCGAACTGCCGCCTCAAACAAGCTAATGATCGTCACGATCCAGCAGATATAGGATGAAGAGCGGCGGCATGGGCCTCATATGGACTGGCTGGAGTGTACGCTCCGTCGGCAGCTGGGGCTCCATCGTGGGAAAAGCCAGCCACCAACGGCATTCACGGTCCGGTAAATCCTTTCGAGCCGTGACACCACGCCTCTCCGAAAATTTGGCCTGTGTATCAGCCGCTATATGCGGCGATAAGGTATCTTGAATATCACGCAGGGACAGAAGGCCTGCCGCACCATCAGTAAGGCACCGCAATCCGGCTGAGAGTTGCCGCTGCGAAGCCAACGACGATGCAAATTCTGGGCTTCGGATATCGAGATTCCACGATGAGAGCCACATGGGTCGACACTGCGAGCCAATGGAGGCGGAAGCCTGTAAATGAATGCCCGTGTACCAATGCAGCGGCCCATGTTGTGATTGAGTTCCGGCCCCGAAGAGGAACAGTCTGTTCAGCCATAGCCCTGCAATCTTACGTTGACAGAGGCAAGACGATGAGACAGACTGCGAGGGACGGAGATCCGTTCCACAGATAAACAAGCATCAAATCAAGGGTACGCTGGCTGACGCCGGGCTGGTCGCCGTTCCAGAAGGCCGTCACCTGATCGTCGGCCGGGCATGGGTGCCCAAAGGGGAAATGCGGCGGATGGATCAAATCCGGCTCCCTTTCGGGCCAAGTCCACGGCGCATCAAGGTGGGGGTCAAGCTTGAGCTTGCTAGATTGAAGTTACTATGGAGGGTTGGATCGACCAAGCAAGGCGTTCAGTCTCCAAATCATGGCATGTGACGACGTTGCCGTTCCGGGTCTGAGACTACTCGAAGCTTAAGATTGATCAAGCTCGCTGTCAGAGGACGCGTCTGCACATCAAGTGGTGGACGAGTATATTCACAGCAGAGCCCCCGTCCTGCGCCCAGGTCTGGGCATCGCCTCTTGGCATGCCATCGCCCTCTTGGCATTTTCCCTTCTCGGCGTTGTATGCTCCGGAGAGCAGAATTAGGGGATCATCTCCTCGCCCGCCTGGTCCAAGCGACGACGACAGCGACGACAACCGAGCAAAACGCCCGACAGAGTTTGACGTACATACCACGCAGAGAAGGAGATTGACTGACTGGAGAGATCGGCCACATGAGCGTCCTCGGCGGTTCAAGCATTTTTCCGTCATGACAAGACGACTGGGCAGTGACAAGGCGACTGGGCAGTGACAAGGCGACTGGGCAGTGTTGGCAAGGGTCCACAGACACGGGGGGACCCATGGCATTTGCGATTCTCCATTACCCGTCTTGAGCTCCATCCTCATACGGCTTGCCCCGGCGTCGCCACATGTGGCTACTACCCAGGTACCCAGGCCAACTCTAAAGGCACCTCTCCCCGTTTTGGAGTGCCTGTTTCTGGGCTGCGAGGAGGGTCGTGTGAGAAGAGGGGGTCAATGCAACACGTGGGAGTGTAAGTCTATCACTCGAAGGGATGACCCGGATCGACGAGACGGCGTCTGCGAGCATGAGATCCTACCTCGCCTACAGACGTGTGTGACCATCAAGGCACTTCACCCACAGTCTGTCCAGGACCTGGACCCATGGTCAGTCATCCGGGAACCGACAGGTCGAGCCGCAAGAAGACTGGAGAAATTGGCGCGAACAAGCTCTCGTGACCCGTCAAACTGGGGAAACCGGCTCGCCTTGGGGTAGCTACCGGCCCACACATGAGGGGCAAAGCACTATGGGTTTGCGGATGAAGATTCCTGCGAGCCGCCGAGGCCACGACGGGCCGTGGCTGGGTCAAGCTGGGGGTGTGAATCGCGGGGAAACACCGCGATGTCATCTGGGCTCGTCTCCTTACAGAGCGGCACCCCGGAGCGCCCCCTCACATGTTTACCCCTGACGGGACAGGAACAAGACTGTGCGGCTCACGGAGGGGCGGCCGCGGGGGAGGCAAACTCACGAGATGCTCGGATGGCCACTCTCCGCCGCGAGGCAAAAGTGGCGACTGACTGGAGCGCGTTGAAAGCGGCGAGATGAGCGGCATGTTGGCAGTGATCATCGTGATATAAAGAAGGACGGAAATCCGGCACACACACATCACTCTTTTTTCCCACCTCTCATCCTCATCCTCAGTGG